AACCGGAATCGTACCGGTCGTCCAACTGTGGTTAATGCAACGAAGAAGGAATCGGAGGCCCTTTGAAGAAATATGTCGCAGTGCCTCACTGTAGACTTCATCCGGTCCGGGGGCCTTGCCATACGGCGTATTACGTAGCGCAGCAAGCAGTTCCGTAGAATTAAAAGGTGCATCAAGAGGGGTGTGAAGATGAGCAACTAAACCAGATGTGGTGGCAGCTTCGTTTTTATCCTGTGGCTCAGAACTAGATGAGAGTGAAGAACCTGAAGTAGATGTAGCGGCAGACTCGTTGTTGTTCCGCTGCCCAAAAAGAAAAGAAGCATTAATGTTCAAAGATGCACTCTGTCTGTTGATGCCTTTGGAAAACCTAACTGCCTTGTGAGAGGGGTGAAATGGAAGAAAGATGCGATTGAGAGCATTCGCTGCTCTCCTTGCTGTTTTATAAGTGTGTTGGCCACCTCCTAATAAAATTGATGTGGGAGATGGAAGTGATGCCTTTTTTCGTCCGGAAATGTATTTCCATGCGAGTGGCTCGCCTGGATTTAACTTGCTTCTGACGCACCGTGGATGCGTGTTACGCGGGCGCGCTTGGAGTAGGAGGGAGAATTGACTTGTCCGTTGCATTTCTGCCTCACGGTCGGGCGTCGGTAACTGTAGATAGCGGGCCTTGCTGTCCGTAGCAATCCGCTCTGCCTCCATGAGAGTGTCGTTCCAAAGCCTGGGACCGTCCTTGTGCATGCCGCGGGGGCAATGTCGTCGATACGAAGTTATAAGCGCTCTCGTGAAAGCTTTAATGCCGGTGGACTGCTTTTTATAGTCGTATGCCGGAAGTTGTGCGTCGAAGTCCTTGACGAATAAATCCCACTTGCACTTCCCCCAACTGTAGAAAAACTTAGGTGCCGAAGGGGGTGCCGAAGGTATGGTATCCTTAAATGCCTGATGCAGCGTAAATGTCAGCATATAATGATCACTAAGCGGCGACACAGAAGCTGACCAATCCGACACAGCCAAATGCTTTGACCACGTCAGATCGATACAGGATCGTTCTCTTGTGCCACGGGCATACGTGATCTCACCAGGGGTGTTAACCAAGGTGAGTCCCGCATCCGTGCACAGTTCTAAAAATTCTGCAGCAACCTCGCTTGGAGAAGTCTCCAAGAATGGCTCCCACTGTGGGTGATGCATGTTGAAATCCCGCACAGCAGGAGCGGCGACGAGGCTGGAAGGCAGTTTACTAACTGCCTGAAGGATTGCGTTACTTGCGGTGGTGGTCTCATATAGGCACTCGCTACAATAAGATCACGGTTCTGCTCCAGAGCAACCTGGACCACCACCACTTCAAGGCTGGTGTCATGCTGGGGGATGGTGAGAGGTATACGCTTGGAGCGGAGAGTTTTCCGCACCAGCACCGCCACACCGCCTCCCTTGCCGATGCGCGACTGTGCATAGAGCACATAATCTCCAGTGTGCATGCTGGCGATCTGCTCTGACGACTTCCATGTCTCCTGGATGGCTATTATGTCTGCTCCTTGCGCCATTAATGTTGCGAGTTTTGACGGCGTGAGGCAATAAACATTCATCTGGAGTACTGCTATGGGGCCTGGGTTCTGCTCAATGTCTCCGCTTAGCAGTAGCTTTTGTCGTTGCGCGTCACATACGGCACGCAAACGGTATGTATAGCGCTGATAAGCGCCGATGGAATTCAGCAGCGGATAGAAATACCGCTCCGCGGGCAGCCACGTAAATGGCTCCATCTGGTGCCCTTCCGACCCGTTTGTGCGGCGCCTCCTGCCTCTCCGCGTGCAGCGGATGGGCAGCAGGCGCTTAGCTTCCTCTCTCGCAAAGAGTACTAGACCCTGGCACCACGTTGAGGTGGCCGGCTGAGCCAGGGGATCCACGCAAGTCGAAGAACAACACGTTCCTTCCAATCGGTCCGGCTGCGGATTACTTGATTCATCTCTTCCTCTGTCAGGGGGCGCGTCTGCCTCGTCTCCGATCGCACAGCAACTTTTGTAACCCCAGAATCACCATGTCCAGCGGGGTCCGATCCATTTTCAACATGGACCGCAGCATCCTGGCGTACTGCGGTCGGGTCGATGGCGCCACTTCGATTGCCATCAAAAAGGCCGCACAGCTCTCCTCGTTTATCGGCTGTTCGTGCGTGCGGCAAAAAGTCGTGAATTGCCCCGCGAGGGACATTCGCGGCTCCCACGTTGACGGCGCCCACATCCCTCGAGCGACCTCGTTTGTTTTCCTCATATAACTGGCCCAAAGCGGAGATGTCGGCGATTCGTCGTACCACAGTCGAGCGTCGTTTACGGATAAGCTCCATCGCCCTTCCCGATGATTTCGTCGGGCAATTTGAAAGATCGGGTGGAGCGTCGGCGGTGCGGTGCGCTGCCTGTGAGGATTGGATGGAGCTGCCGTCGCCAGCATTCATGAGCGGCGTGCGGCGGCCCCTCGGCCGTTTTTTGAAGGGCGCCTGTGTTGTGAGTAATTCCCTCTGGGGCGCGCATTGCATGTAGATGCCTCGTGCCCATAGGTGTGACAACGTTGGCATCGCACAGTGCGTTGGTTTTCTCGCCGATCGACGAAAAGCTGGGTCGCCCTGGCATAAGCGTCCGTCTGGCGAACAGCGGTGTAAAGACGGGCGCGCAGTTTGGAAAGCCGGATGCCGGGATCGGATGCAATCATGAGCCGCATCCGGAATGTATTCCGTAGGGACCTCCCCAAATTCATGATTCGATCGGTGGGATCCTGCAGGCCTTCCAGCGCGCTGATCCACTCGACCAAATTGTCAACGGCAAGTTTAACCTGCTCGTTGTCCTGTTGCCGGCATTGGTGTGCACACCGGAAATCGATAACGACTCCGAAAGTTCCCTCATTCCATATGCGCGAGGGTCACGTAGTGACGTCGAATGCGCAGAAACCGCGGTCCCCCTCCATGGGTAATGGGCGTCCAGGGGAGAAGTGCGGGAGGGCGACGGCGTGGAGGGGTGGAAATGTGGTCTCGCAGCATTACCGTGAGGGCGTCTGTCAGCCGCCGAACTGCGTCGGGCCGCGCTGCTAGGCACGCCTCCAGCCATCAAGATGTCCGTTTGATGCGGTGGTGTAGTTACGCCATCGTTGAAAACGTGTCGAGTAGCGGGGGACTCGTCCCGCCCCGCCGTCTCCGCATACCGCGCGGTTTGTAGTGCATTATGGCGTGCCTCCCGTTCCTGGAGTTGAGCAGTGAGGACTCCCAAGTTGAATTCGAGCTCCCGTAATTGGGCGCGAGCGGCCTCCAACTGCTGTTTTATTTCTAGGACCTGGTTGCCGGCCCCGGCGATAGTGGATTCCCTTACCGATAGGTTGCGATGCGCCTCCTGAAACCGCGAGTTAAGCCGAGCATTCCGATTCTGCACGTCCGCGACGGCGTTCGCGTAATCAAAATTCAGGCGCTCCCTTTCAGCAGTGATGAGCCCTTGTTGGTGCCCCAACTCCCGGGCTGCCCCCATAGCGGGCAGGAGCGCTTGTGTCTCAAAATTAAGGATCTGAGGCGCGCGGAGATTCGCAATATGTCCAATGAGAGTAGAATCCTGCCATGCCTTAGATACAGGTCCATGGAACAGGCATAAGCCTGTCGCTGATGGGGCCACAGTTAACGTCTCATCCGACATCTGGTTACCATCAATGAACGTCATCTGCACCTGGGTCTCGCCACATTGGCACACCATGTCCCAGAGACGGGCGCCAATATCACACCACTCGGAGGGTGTGTTGGGAACCAAAGTCGTTTCCTTAAACTTACCTGGATGTGTCGGTAAAAAAAAAAATACACTGGCCTCTATCGGCTCCCTGCCCCTACAAAGTCGCATTCTTCTCAAAAGATTCATACGGTAGAGAGTACCATAAAGAATGCATTCATTTATCAGGATATACACATACATTAATTAAGTTAGCCAGCTCTCCCGCGATCATTCTTCTCAAGCTCCTAGAAAAAACACTTCGACCTTTTTTCCCCTAAGGTCGTGGGTTTCACAAGTTTCGTGTAAATTGTTTGGGCTGCGTCGCTTAGTAAAAGTCGAAACGACGATGCCTTAATGTTATCGAATTTGTTTTTTCCCAAATAATTGAAAAATATGGGAAATCGTTCTTTTTGAAACAAAGACGTCTGTTATTTGTTTCCACCCTCGAGGTGGCGTCATTGCTCAGTTGTTGCCTCTTTTACGATTCAATTCCGCAAAACGTGGCACGGGATCGAGTTCTGTGCGAGCAAATAATTTTTTCGGCCCGAAAAAAAGGGCCGCTACGGGAATTGAACCCGTGACCTCCTGTACCCAAAACAGGAATCATACCACTAGACCAAGCGGCCGCCAGTGCGGACAGTTTTTTTTTGAGTTTTGCGAATAACACGGTGGAACTCTTCTTTTTTCTGGGCGCAGCGGTTGCAGCACCGTGGCGCAGTGGAAGCGCGATGGGCTCATAACCCATAGGACGTTGGATCGAAACCAACCGGTGCTAAATTTTTTGTTTTTTTCTTTTTTTATTTGGATAGTGCTCCCAAATCCTTTCTGGTGTTGGCGAGATGGTCGAGTGGTCTAAGACGTTGGATTAAGGTTCCAATCCTTCCGAGGGCGTGGGTTCAAACCCCACTCTCGTCAATTTTTTCCCTTTTTTGGCTTTCGAGGCGCCGCGAAGAAAAGAGAAAGGCGCGCGGCACGAGAAGGGTTTACCGCGTTTTTTTTGTTTGTTTGCGTGTTGTTGTTGTGAAAAGAAGAGTTGTTTCTTTTTAAAATGTCGGGCTTTCTTCAGGGCGAACGCAACGGCGCAACCCGTCGGTGGGATTCTCCTCTGGATGAATGGCTGCGTGTGCGTGTTGTGCTTTTGTGCGGACGTCTGTATTAACTGTTCTTTGTTTTGAACCTTTCTTTCGCACATTTTTTCAATGTGATCGGTGGAACCCGGCAAGGGGTATTGTGTTTTTCGAATCCTAGAATTTATAGATATCAGCGGATTAAATGGACATTGACAAATCGAGTCTCTTTTTCATTTTTGAGGATTTCCAAAACTCTTTAGAAAAATGTGACTTTTACGCCGTGGACCAAGAAATGACAGGTGTAGACTTTGACGGGCAGCAACGATCACGTTTCATGTCCTTGCCTGAGCTTTACGAAGCATGTCGCGGTGTTGTTAAGAGATATATAGCATTTCAGTTTGGAATTACGCTCTTTACTCGTTTGAAATCGGGCGGTTACGTGGTCAAACCATACAATTTCTATTTATTAAAAGAACATTGTGATTTCGGTGTAAATACCGATGCAATAAAGTTTTTGGTGGCACATAAGTTAGATTTTCAAAAATGGTTAGCATTTGGAGTGCATTACTGTAATAAGGAAGAGGAAGGAAGGTTTACCACGAAAAAAGAAAATCCTTCGTACTTGGAGTTGGAAGAGAAAATTGTTTTTCATGTTGTGAATGAAATTAAAAAATGGTATCTTGATCCATACAAAAAGGAAGAGGAAATATTATCATTAAAGACTGTCATGACCAAGGGAATTGAGGCATTTGTAATCTCTACTCTCAAAGAGCAGGATATATATGTGAATTTAGAGTACGACGAGATTTCTAAACTATACGAGCTACCAGTACAATTAACAGTGCATCGAGTGGATAGAAACAAATTGGATTTGGAAGGGGAAAAAACTGCGGTCAATTCTGCAAGCGTTTTTTCAGAGAAATTGGGGTTTAGACAAATTTGGAAATGTTTAACCAAATGCAAGAAACCTATTATTGGTCATAACTTTTGGTTAGATATAATGTTTATGCTGCATATGCATGAAGCGCCTCTTCCTACAATGTACGAGGACTTCAAAAAACAGGTTCACGAGTTATTTCCCTGCATTTATGATACTAAGACACTTTCTAAAACTATGTTTTTTTCTAAGCTAAACAAATGTTATCATTTGGATGATTTATATAAGGAATGCTGCAAAATAAATAAAGAATCGAAAGATTCAATTGTTTTTCGGTTCCCTCCTGGTTTTCACTTCTATGATGAGAAGTGCTTAGGAAGTGAAGGGAAAGCACATGAGGCGGGATATGATGCGTATATGACTGGTATCGTTTTTGCAATAATGAAAGATGTATTAAAGAATGGCGATGAGATTGAATTTAAAAAATGGGAAAATGTTATTTCTGTGTATGGAAGTAATTATTATATGAACGTGGTAGGTAATGATTTTTTAAAATCAGGTTCAATCTTTTTGATTGAGTTTGAAGAAGATGTAGATGCTCGCTTGGTACAGTCTCTTATTTCTACAGAAAAGGACATTGAACGAATAAAAAACAATCAGGAACCTACCTCTTTCTTATTGGATTTGGATTTTTGCAAATCTGAGAGGCATGACAGAACTTTCTTTGCTCAGTTTTACGATGGAAACACTAACGAAAAAACAATAAGGGCTCAAATAGATTTATCTAAAGAGCGAATTAGCTTGTGTTTCTCTACAACAATGAAAAAACGAGAAATTATATTTCCTCAGGTTAAAAATATTTCTCGCTTTACGGAATAAAAGGGATAATACACAATTGATAATAATAAATAAATAAATAAATAACAATACCAAATCAAAACAACAACAAGAAAAAAACTATTTGCAGTAAATTTAATATATATATATATATATATATCAATATTAGTAATGGTAGTACTAAAATAAAGAAAGCATATTTAGAAAGAATGAACAATTGGGCTTTTTTTATATGTCTTTTTCAAATGAATTTCTCCTTTCCATTTAGTATTAGTATCGATGCATTAAAGTAAAATAAATAAAACAAAACCGAGGAGAATATAAAAGAATTAACAAAAAACTTTTTGTTTATTTCTTTAGTCTGTATTAGAATGGATGCGGAAGAAATTAGTTTTACCCCTTTCAATCGGACGAGGCTTTTCGAGTTGGGATGATGGATCTGATGGACATGAATGGAAATCGCGTGCTCTTGCTGAAAAACGCTTATTGGCGCTAACTTATCTTGGAGATGTAAATAAACGCGTACAAATTCATGATGCAATTCGCTTAAGGGGTGAAGTTAATAAACAAGCTATTCGAGCATGTGAATTACCAACATTTTTTCAAACAAAAGAGACTAATGAAGCTGAGAATTTACAAGAGATTGATTATCACTCACTCTTGAGTATGATTGAAGGGGAATTTGAGGTTGATACTTTGGCTCATATTGCTCCATCCGATGCAAATTTTTTAAAAACTGAATTTTTACAGTGTGACGACTCCGCTGAGGTGAAGCTTCTGGGTCAATGGTCCAATCTTCGCCGTGATACTGCAGACTATAATAACTATGCTTCCATACCAGATGGGGAAAGGAACGCGTGGTCCGCGTGGTATCTTCGTAATGTGCGTCCGGGTAAGACCGAAAATGATTAGAAAGCGATTTCCGGCAAAAAGCAAAAAAGAAAAAACAATATTTATTTATTTATATATTATTATTATTATTATTATTATTATTATTATTATTATTATTATTATTATTATTATTATTATTATTATTATTATTATTATTATTATTAAGTTTTTAAAAATTAAAATACGGTGGCATATAGGTATATGATAATGAGGCTATTTTATCATCTGTTTGTTGTTGATCTGTTTATTTTATTTATTTATTATATTTTTATTTCTTGATAATTATTGGCTTTCCTTTTTTTTTTTTTTTTTTTTTAGGGATGGAAACGAAAGGTTGAAAAACATACAATATGGGGATTTCTGAGATTTGCTTTTTGGCGTTTTTTCTGTTTAGCCAAGTGGCATTTGCAGCTGATTCATCTGCCGCTTCAACGAGCAATACAATATCGATGTCTGGTGATGTTGCCGCTGGCCTTTTGTTAGGTGTGGGTTTGTTTGGGTTACTTGCCTTTTCGGTTGGTATGTTGACCGGCATTGAGACGTCTGATACATTAGCTCAGATTAGGAATGATGCAAATTAGCCGTGTTAATTTGTCTCAAATTGTCTTTGAATTGGAGTGCAGAAAAGAACAACATATATATATATATATATGTATAATAGTAATAATAATAATAATAATAAAATAGTAAATACAATTTATTTATTTATTTATTATCGATGTTATTTTTGTACCGCCGAAAACTTTATTTTAACATTAGTTTCTTTACAATCCTTTTTTTTTTTTTAGAGTCTTATACTTCACATGAAATCATTGAAGTATTTAGGACGATGGAAATATCCTCGATAAGTGAAACAGATAAGAATGCCATCACTAGACTTTTATCAAGTGATCTTTCTCGGACGGTGGCTAGGCATGCAATTATAGTGTTGCACTACTTCAGGACTATCAGTGACGAAGATCTTCCTATCGATGTTCTTCTTGGCGGATGCGTTTTATATGCAGTTAAGCAACGTCAGGCTTCCAACGCCAACTATTTTCTTAGAGAATGCCTGGAACGTGTGAAGGAAAGTGATATAGTTGGTTTTGAATTGTTACTGGTGCAAGTTGTTCGTCATAATGTGTTATTAATTGAGACTTGCTTGCGTTCAGTATTCCACGAGGTTTTGCTTGAAAATCCTGTGGCTGGATTAGATCGCGAGCGTACTATTAAGGTATGCCTGCATCTTATTTCTTTTTTATACAGGACAAGTTGGTGTCTTTTCCCAGAGAGTGCTGCGAGGGGTGCGTTTCTTGTGGCATCTGAGAAATGCGAGGTCAGGCTGGGAAAATTGTCAAGTGCCTTTGATGGTCCGATGGTGAAACATATTGCGAAATATCTTCGAGACCAATTTTGGAACTGAAACCTTTCTCTATTTTCATCATTCTTCTTATCATTATTGTTAATATCTTTTTTTTTTTTTTTTGCTTTTATATGATAACCGAATCCATAATTTGTTAATATTAATATTAATATATATTGTGTTTTTAAAGTTTTTCTGTTGTTTACGCATCATCTTTTCGTTGTTGTATCCACATACATATAGTTATTTTATAAAATATATAAATGGAAGAGGATCTGAGTGATTGGGGTCTTCTTAGCATTGCAGACATACTAGACTTTGATTTTCTTCGCAAAAATGAAGCCTTATCAAGTATCGTTATCACTCTTAAGGATTGTGAAATACCTTTGCTTCCATGCGAACCGTCTTATGCTGTAAAGTATGTCCAGATGTTGATAAAAAACTCCAAGTACAACGCAGAGAATCGACATAGTAATTTTGAAGAAATGGATAGGTTTCGTTCTATTAAACTCAAAAGATCTCTTGCTGCATCTGAGCTTATTCGCGAAAGGCTTTTGGGAGCAATAGAATCATTTGCCTTAACAGTACAAAAGGAGACCCATAAACCAAGTTTTCTCCAGAGTGTGGTTCATCTAGGATCTATTGTTTGCCCCGCTATTGGTTCTTTTTGTGATGCTCTTATTGAGGGTGCAGAGGCAATGGCTTTGAGAGGTGTTTCCTCCAAAAAGGACATTGGTTCATGTGTGGAGGTTCTTCAGCTCTTTAGGTCTCGTATAGACATCTCCGTATTGAAAGAAGAGCAAAAGCGAAGACTATTTTTTGCCGAGTTTTCGTTGGCATTACGCTCTGAAAGACTCGGTGTTGTCGTGAATTGTCTTCTACAAAAATCAACTAAGGATGCATTACGAGGAAAATATTGTCCTCCACTCTTAGAGCATCGTGTAAGTTTTGTAAAGGCAAAAACCGATGGTTTTCTGACAAGAACTTGTGAGTTGCCCTTCCCTATTCACTCAGCTCAGGTGAATTGTTTTCCAAGCGATGAGAAACTCGTTGTGTGTAGTGGGAATAGAGGTTGTGTATTCGATCAATTAGGGATGATGGGAACTCGATTTAAGCTTAGGGAAGAGTTTGAAGTGTCCATTGAAAAAAACACGCGAATTATTCTCTGTAATGAGAAGGAACTGTTTCTAGCCAATCGAATACCATCTGCGTTGGGAAATATTTGTTACTCTATTCAAAAGTTGGATTGTGTATCTGGAAGGCTCCTGAAAAAAACAAAGATTTTATTTCTTTTTGATGACTGTTTGGTTGCTTCACGTGATGTTGTTTTCGATATTTATGGTTCTATACTTAGTTGTCTTGTGTGCAGTGAGTCGTCGCGGATATCAAACAGTAAGTGTCATTTAATTCAAAAAGATCTGGATATTATATTTTCAGTTGATAATCATCAGTTTCATGTAACATCTCAGTGCGTACTGACGCGAGGTCAGGGATTATGGCATTCGACAAAAAAATGTTACTACTTTAGTAAGGGGAATGCGCTATCAATTGGTCGTGTGACGTTAAAAGAAAATTTTCATCCTTTTACGTTGGAAATGTGGGTTTATCCATGCAATGCATTGGAAAATCAAAGTGTTCTTTCACTCGGGGACAAGAGTCTGGATGAGGTTTTAATTGAAATTGAGCCTACCCCAGAGGGTGTTTTATGGCGTGGTGGCTCCAGAACTCCTCATCTTGGGGCTTCATTTGTAACGTTTTCAGTTCCCGGAAAATTGGCATTTTGTCAGCGTTGGTGGCATGTGGCACTTTTATTTAAAGGTAATTCTTGGGAACTATGGGTTAATGACGCTATTGTCTCTCGAGCGCCGGCACTTGTTTCTCCAGAGGCTTTGATAGATGTTGAATGTGTTTTGGGAAAAAGCTTTGTGGGATGTTTAGCCGAAGTGCGCATATGGAACTGTTGCCGCACCCCTGTTCAGCTTGCCAGAGATAGCAGACGCTCTCTTACAACAATAGAGCCTACACTTTTTGGATACTTTCCACTCGATGAGAGTGAGGGAGACGTTATCGCGGACTATGCCTCAAATGGTTCTCATGCACTTTTGCATCATGGACAAGCGACATGGTTATTGGTTGATCATTTTCCTATTTTTCCACTAAATATTGTACGCTGCATTGATGATTTTGCACCCATTGCTTGGCGAGAGTCTTCGGGTATTCTCTTTTTGTCAAGTTGTCCAGGATATATTGCTCTTGCTGTACCGACAGAAGGGCCTTCTCTTACCATTTGTGAGTACACAACATACGATTTCAGACTGGTATTTCAGGCAAGGGTGGAGCTTCCTATCCGTACTCCACTCAAAGGTATGGCATATAATGCACTGCGACATTCTTTAGTTTGTTATGCTTCAACAGCAGAGCATCCCAAGCGATTGTTGATTTGGGAATTACACCAACAACATTATTTCCCATTTTTAAGAAAGGATGCATATGATAATATTTTAGAGTGTGAGAGGGATCTATTGACACAGTGTGCAATGTATGCAAAGCGTCTTGTAGGAGCTGAAAGATGTTTGGTGGACCAATTGTCATGGTCCGTCCAGGTACCAGGGCTCGTTGTGGACACATCAGATGGATTAATCTCGAGTTTGCTTAGATTTATTCATATTGTATGGATGGATCAAAAAGATCATGAATACACCAGGCAGTTATATGCACTGCTGCATGCAAATTTGCTCTGCCGAGTTGAAAATCAACGAGAAGGGTTAATGAAAGAAATTGGAGATTTGTTTCCTGACGCCCAAGCTCTTATCAACGCAGCTCAAGAGTGTGGTGAGGCACCAAATGCAAGAGCAGAACTACTACGACTTTCTTTTCAAGAATCATTTTTTGATTCAGGTCTTCTCTCTATGACATGTCGTTGTTTGCTTTCCGAAAAGAGTCGCCTTGCTTTTCTTAAGAATCAGGCTGGCCGAGGGCGACTTACGGAGATGAAGGATATGCTTTTTCGCTCCCTACTTGAATATTATGGATCATTACAGGCATCGAGTCTGCTGCTTAACAACGCCGAGAATGCTCAACTGTTCTGTTCTTCTTTGATGGCTGAGGAGGTGTTTCAGGTGGACCGTTGGTTGGGAGGAAATGGGAAGGCTCTGGAGGCCACAAAGCGGACGAGTCACTCTCTTGAAGTTTTTCAAGAAATTCTCCTGGCCAGGGTAGTGGAGAAGTCTCAAGGGGAGTTTTGTACGTTTTTGACCACGTACGCGAAATTACTCCTACGAACAAGCGAAAGGATTATGGAGATGTTTTCAAAGGCACTTCGAAAAAATCCCGAGCTCTATCTTGGTAACTTGATCACCTGCATTGAATTTAGTGCTGTTGGGGCTTTATTGCCATCATTCACTGTTGCCCTTCCATTATTGCCCACAATTATTCAGGCAGCCTGTCTCCCTTTTTTGAAGAGTTGTCGCGAGGCATTGTTCACCCTTACAGATACTATTCCTCGAAGTGAAAAATTACCATATGAGCTTGGTGTGGCACTGACCTCAGCTTTGTGTCGAATTGGATGTTCATTACTTGTCTCCTCAGATGTGGTGACGTCTGAGGTAGAGCTGAAGTATTTGCATTTATTATGGGGCGGGATTCGTAAATCTGGATCTGAGCGAGATGCCATCATCAAAAATTTACAACAAGGTGTGGGGTCTATCTCACGCGTAGTTGATGAACTTCATAAAGATGATCCGGGAGCATTAATTGTTCTTCGAGATGACCGATTGGTGAAATTGGAACGACTTCTTATGGCAGCATTTTGTGCGTTACTGATCCCAACGGAATCCCTGAGGCACGCGACAAAACAAACCTTGGCACCGATGTTTCGCTACATCCATAATATGCGAGCTTTGGTGCTTTCAAAGCGTCAGGAAAACCGAGAGTCGCTTGATGTTCTGGAGGAAAGGGCCAAGCTTTTGGCTCGTTTTGAACCCATATGTGGCGTCCGAACGGAAGAACCGCCTCAAATCAAGACTTCCACAAGAGATACGAGCCCACAACGAAAATGGAAGCGTTTTTTTCAGACCTGGAAGGCGCTGCGAGTTTTGAAAACCAAAATGCCTCAGCAACGAGAGACAGAGTCGGGTGAACCAGGGGCTGTTATTTTACAATTTCTCTGGGATAAGAATCTGGAACGTGAAAGTGTCGAACGTCTTGTTGTGCAACAAACTCAGAGAGCGCATTACAGATTGTCTGGAATGTTATTGCTGCGACAATTAATTGAAGAGACAAGGGCAAGTGATACTCTGGCACGAATTGTTCTGCCTGTTTTGGCAAAGACCTTCACAGGATGGCACTACTCGGATGACGTACAGTGTTGTTCAAAGGGAGATTTTCTTCGACTCCATGGCGCTTTCTTTCAGCTATTGGAACTTGTAGTATTCAATGTGAAAAGTGGGGTACGTGACGTGTGGGCCGATGTTTTTTTGTCTTTACTAACGTCCGAACTCCGAGTAATTGATTTTCGGAGAGTGAGAAGCGATGTGACAACGACACTTTGTTTTTTGTGGAAATTTGAGAATCGGAAAACCACTGGAATACCACATTTGAATGGTAGTATACCTGAAAGTATGCGCAACACGTTACTTTCTCCGAGTGGGGCTGCACCAACCTTAGTTATAGGCCGTTCTGGTTTTACTATGAAGGGCCTTGGAGGAAGAGGCACTTGTGTGGTTTCTTCTGAATGGTCTTTGGGTAAAAAAAATGTTCCTTATTACTTTGAAGTACTCATTGTAGATATGTATCCTGGGGGAAGTTGCTGCGTTGGTTTAGGACCATCGGATTACAGTGTTTCACGGTTACCTGGATGGGATAGTGAATCCTATGCTCTTCAAAGCGAAGAGGGCACACTTCATGAGAGCAATACGCTTGGCCGGCCAATAGGTTGCACCTTTTGCATAGGTGATGTTATGGGGTGTGGATGGAACACAGAAACAAGGGAGATTTATTGGACCAAAAACGGAAAGGATATTGTCGCTTCGGTGGAAGTTTTACAGCATCAATTACATCCATTGATTGGAATGTGCGGAAAGGGGCTTATCAAGGTGAATTTTGGGGCAGAGAGATTTTTGTTTGATAAAGTACCTGGAATTAAATCAATACGACGTCCATTGGGCGAAAATGCATGGGATGTTTTCCGTGTATTTTCTCTTCGAGCATCTCTTGGTCTTGTCGAATCGTGTAGTGGTTTGCGGACCCATAGCGCGGACTCAATAGAAGGATTAAGGGCAGTTGTTGAGCAGTGCATTGAATGCAGCTGTGCAGAGATGGAACGTACACTATTCCTCTCCATGTCAGAGTCATTTGTCATATCCTTGTCTTCTCATTTAATAACCTTGGCAAAGGTGCTTGTGTCTGCAAAGGATGATGAACTGACACCCTGTGTGCAACGTGTGGTCATGGTCTTACAGAGAATAACCCATCACACTCTTCAGGGTGCTGCCTGGAGTTCCAAATTGCGTTGTGTACTTCTCAAAACATGGTTTACCTTTATGAATCTGGTAAATCCAAACACGATTACAGAGGATGACAAATTACCCGGATTCCTTGATACACTCTTGGCAGTGGGACGGGAGATTGAGTGGGCCGTGTTGCAGTGCCCAGGAGCTTCGTCTGAATCACGCCCAGCCGTTGAGGCATGGACGGCTCTCGCCTTTCTGCAGTATATGAATTCTGATGATCCACCGCATCGCTGGAGGGAGGAGTTACATAAATGGATCATGCAAAATCTTGAAGGAACTAAGGATAAAGTAAACACTTCTTTGGCGCTACGAATTTTATTTGGGGCACCAAGACTTTTGGTGCCTGGAGATCGTGTCGTTGTGCAGAAGTCGCGCCATACAAAATTAACGGCGATATTGATTGACTACTCGCTTGATGACGAAACATGTGAAATAATTGAGAATGAAGAAAGGCGACAAACCATTTCATTGCGTCAGACTGATATCACCACGGAAGACGATGCGGTCACTTTTCCTCAAACAGGCAATAAATTCCATGAAAGGCAAATGCATCAGGTTTTATGCTTGGCAGAGCGAATCTGGAGTGATACTACAGTAGATAACGGGTTAACGGGAACAACCCTCCGATGCAAAATTCTTTCAATACTTTGGCGATGTGTACGAAAGGGGGTTCTTGTTGCTCCGAGTGAGATTCTTCCAATCCTGGCGAAATTCTGCGATAATGGCGAAAACTTTTCGGAGGAACACACGGTGTTGGCTCAGGAGAGGCTGGTGATTGAACATTGCCTTCTTGGACGGGCCTTAAGTGGGAGTACAGGAGGCGGTAACGCTGTTGATAACGTGGTAGTTGGCGGTAATGACAACAGGGAATCAAGAACACGCCTTGCACAGGAGTTATCCATGCGCGGTTACAATCTTGACCTCTGTTTTTTGGCTTTAGACGAGACGAACAATGATATTCAGCTGGCACTTCAGCTACTTGGGGATCATCATGGAGATTTTATGTCAGCGCGACGTCGCACGGCATCTTCTTCCAGTGAAGACGAGGACATGACTAGCGATGACGCTGAAATGGATGCTGCTGAATACGATCTTCACGTTTTGTTTCCCGCTGAAAGCGAGGACGGCATGGATGAGGACGTTTCTGTGGATCACTGTGATCCATCATTGAGTGAGGGGATCCGTTTTCTTGGGGGTTATATATGCGTTACAGGGGAACGTCCTTTGGGGCATAAATTTACGCTTGATATGCACCTGTATTTATTTGAAAGTTCAGCAATGCAAGTCGTGCTTCATCAAAAAGCCATCACAGGAGGATGGAGGCTTGTGGCGCATATTCAAAATTCCTTCTTCTACTGTGGCTGGATGAGGGTCGGGGATAGTGTTTCATCACTCTGCAAGTTTCCTATTCAGTATACAGATACTTTGCGTTGGATACAATTGACAATGGTACAGGACGGAACAACATTTTCTCTTTACAAGGGCGGTGTTTTTCAGTCTGAGATGATATTTACTCATAGATGTGCGTTACTCGAAAATGAGCTTTTCTTTGGTGGCTCGTCGGAGAGTGATGATACTCATTTCAATGGAGGTATGAAGAGTGTTCAGATGTTTGCAACCGCCTTAACAAAGGAAGAAGTGAATAATTTGGTCTCTATGAAGACAGCGGACATCGTTTCTCATCACTTTCTCATCCTGGAGTGTGCGAGTGACAACATTAAGGCCATCTCAAGAGGCACGGCGTATAACGCAAATGTGACCGTAATGGGGGCTGTGACTTGGTTTGAACAGTCCGAGGTGGGTGGACGACCCAATGATTTTTGTCAACACGAGATTGATTTCACTACTCAAAATGGCGAGGATGGCATTTTTACGGTGGATACCGCAAATGAATCCAGCAGCTTCACTACCCTCTGGCGAAGACGGAAGGACCAACGAAAAGATCACCTCCTGGCATCCATTATTAAGCTTGACAGACAACTTGCATGTTATTATGCGGTAGCCATCCTGACACAGATGATGTGCCTTACACCAAATGTAGCGATTTTTTTTACGAGGGAGCAAGTACGCAATATGGTGCGATTAACTCTGAATTCACTTGATGCAGACCTTTTAGAGTCACTTACAGCGACTTTAAAGAAATTGTCAGGAAGCAAAGATGGCAATTTGGTCAATTACGCAATAGAAGAACTTGTCGAGGTTGTGCAGCGGGAGCAGAAGATGTTGGTATTTGAGTCTTCACACCCTTTTAAATCTACATCCGAAACGGCTCACGAGGTTTATGTCCCTGGTCGACGAGCCTATGAGCTTTACTTTGATTCGCGATGCTCTTCAAGTAGTGTACTTGTCACGCTTTACTCTGATCATACACTTTCTAGTATTATTGCACAAACCCCTGGGTACGCATTGAATACTCTATTAATTCGTGCACCACGCTTCTTTTTTGATGTTCGAATGGATGCTACGACTCCGCAATGGGGATACAAAGTCGCTGTTTTGTATGATGCATCCGTACCGCGGTCTGCATCTCGACTGCTCCGCTCTACATTGTCTGCGGTGATTTCACGGGGAATTTCGAATGTGGAATTCCTGAAAACAAGTGTTTGTCTTGAAGGCCTGGCAAATGCTAGCAGAATGAATATTGGTACTACCCGTCGCATAATTTTGTCATGTTTAACAGATCTTTTTATTCACGGGGCAGAGCACATTGAACCTATGCCTCATGTGGCTCGTATGCACGACCTTCGACGCATGGCTGAACGCCTTTTTCGGCGAACGATAGGTTCACAACACTTGCAAAGCCGCTTCGTCCAGTCTGTGGCTGAGTTTTATGTTGCCCTCAAGGATGCAGAGCATTGTTGGCGGGTTATTGGGGATGAACGGGTCAGGGTTTTTGATGAAGTATATGACGCTGCTGTTGATACGGAATCTTTTATGCAGAAAAGACTTGAGCAACGCAATTTGTATAGGCGTAGAGAGGGGATGCGCGTGACCATTGAAAAAGTTTTTCATCCGGAAAGTCTTCGTATAGGCGTTAACCCTAACAAAACAATACTGGCCTGGAGTGAGCGTTCAGGAAGTTCTGTTGTTGCAGATGTTCCACTGGGATCTGGAAGGTGGTATTTTGAGGTGCGTATGATGGCAACGGGGGATGTGTTTATAGGCGTGCTCCCATCCCGTCTTCATGACTGGGCAGATGCACCAGCCCTTGAAACATATTTGGCGTTTAATGGCAAAACAGGCGTTTTCCATGGGGTGAATGACCCCACGGTAGCACCTCGCCGCATTTGGAAGGCCAAGGACTACGTTGGAGTCGTATTTGATGGTGTGGAGAAGAAGTGTTCATTTTTTGTTAATGGATATGAAACAGGTCTTTCATTTTGCTTTGCTGAAAATGGGGCAGAGGCTGTTTCTGCCGCCGGCGCTCACCTTCAAGATGAACTGGACATGTCTTATTATCCCTTTTTTGTACTTGAAGAGGAAGAGGGGATTACCATCAACTTTGGCGGGGCCCATTTTGAGTTTGAATCTCCTCGGGACTGTTTTCCCCTCGATCCAGCGAATTTGACTCTTGGAACTCTCATTCCCTACAACCAGCTTCGTGCTTTTCACGATCTTGCCACATACATTGCTTCTGCTGGGCGTACTTCGTTACCAACATTTTTTCATGAGGAAGCGAACCCTTTCGATGGCTCAACGGAAAGATTTGGACCCCCTCATGTTTCCTTGCTTTCCTCCGTGGGGGTACAAATAAATTTACTGCTTGTACGAAACACGGGAACTCGATTTGCAACAGTGAGGGCGAACTGCCGTGTTTCAGGAGGAAAATGGTATTATGAGGTGACATTACGTTCACAGGGGCTTATTCAGATTGGATGGGCTTCATCTGATGAGCCACAAAAAGGAGGTGTTGGTGACACATCTACGTCATGGTCGATTGATCTCTTTCGACGCCTTAAATGGCATGATGGAAAGTCTGAGCCCCTTACAGCTTCACGTCGTTGGGTGGTGGGGGATATCATTGGTTGTGCACTAGATCTTGTGGAGAGGAAAATGTTATTTTTGTGCAATGGCCGACCTCTATGCGACAATACACTAAACGATAGCACGTTTGCAGGGCTACCAACTACGCTTACCTACGAACCTGCAGTCTCCCTTCGGGCCGGGAATGAAGTGTTATTTAATTTTGGCTCTTCCAGTTTCAAGTACAAACCGGAGGGATTTTGTGCGTTGGGTGTTCCCGATTCCTGGAATGAACGGATGGACGCATTTTACTCTACTCTTCGACCATCTACAACGTTATTGCGTTTACGGGTCTTGCGTGACATGTGGCTTTCCGCGGATGACTTGGCAATAAGTGATAAACTGAAGCCCTATTTTTTTGTTGTGGACGCTATACAGCAATATTGCCGACGGGAGGGCAAGAGTTTTGCACAGATAACAGAAGAAGTGTGCACAGAAATCTTTCGAGATCTTCCCATTTCCGCTCAGGAGGCATGGAAAGCATACATGGTCCTGGTTGCCTTTTCTCGAGTTTCTCAGGCCGTTATACCATTTCTTCATCTCGATACTCGACATCCCAATATATCTACGAAACTTTTTTTAGCGTGCCGCGGTCTTCTTTTTGCGTCCCTTCGGAACGAAATGGTAGATGACATTCTTCGAGTGACAAATGTTCGTTCTGAAAATCTTCGAGTGTCTATTAATCGACTGAAGGCTCGAGCAAATAAGAATTCATGGATGTCATCCGTTTTTGGTCAAACTTTTTCTTTACTAGCAGATCAGCATCCGCGGATATTTCGTACAAACAAAAGATTTTGGGGTGTTGTGTTTCTTGGTGAAGGTTCAGAGGACGTTGGTGGCCCTTTCCGAGAGCACATTGGTGAAATGTGTCGTGAACTTATGAGCACAGCATTGCCTCTTTTTGTTCCTACAGCGAACAATGTACATAATACAGGCACGTATCGCGATGCCTTTGTACCTGCCGCATCTGCAATAGGAACGGCTGAGTTGGCGGCATTCGTGTTTATCGGTCAGTTAATGGGTGGGGCCATGCGAAGTAATGAGCCTTTAAGTCTTTTTTTTCCTCCCATTATCTGGAAGTTTCTCTGCTTTTATCCCATTGAGGAGTCCGATGTCGATGATGTGGATCGCATTTGCCTGCAATGCATTCGGGAATTTCGAGGTTTGAGAAACCGTGTAGGTTCCGGCGACATGTTTGATGAGGTATTTGATGCGGAGACCTTTACAACGCGTCTCAGTGACGGGTCTGTGAAGGAGTTGATACCTGGCGGAAGTAGCAAGCGCGTGACTTTGGAGCGGTGTGAAGAATACGCGGATGCTCTTTCTTCTGCACGAATTGGTGAGTACACGCGGCAGCTTGAGAAGATACGAGACGGTTTAATGAATGTGATTCCAGAGACTGTGCTTTGCCTGTTGACCCCGAGCGAGCTGGAGTTTCGCATCTGCGGCAAGCCGGATTACAGTGTGGGGGAGTTGCGAGAGGGGGCCGTGTACGAAGGTCTTACAAGCGATGACAGACGGGTGCAATTTTTGTGGCAGGCACTGGAAGAGGCGACGCCGTTGCAACGCCGATTATTCCTGCGGTTTGTTTCCGGGCGTGACAGACTACCTGTCAAGCTGCGTGTCCTACCGCTCTCCTCTCCAGGCGATGCGGACAGTGTGCTGCCCCGCGCAGCCACCTGTTTTTTCGCTTTGGAGCTCCCTGACTACTCCTCTGTTGAGGTGTTGAAGGCTAAATTGTATTACAGCATTGAGAACTGCGCCGACATTGACACTGACTTCAACCCACGGGAGGTGGATGAAAGTGAGTCGCCGCAACTCATGGTGGGGCTGGAAGATACGCGGCAGGAGGAGGTGGACTCGACCACGTTAAGTGACTGACACGGCGTTACTCCTTTTGTTTAGTTTTGCTTTTGCTTTTGTTGTTGGAATACAGGCAGTATTTCTTCTTGTTGGTTCCTCATATATATATATATATATATATATATGTTTTTGTGTGTATATGTCCTTTCTCTACTTGCGGTTTCAGAATATGATTTTTACAACAGGTGTGGACGACATCAAATTTAATTATGTTTGTTTCCCTCTGCGTGTGTGGATGTACGTGTGTGCGGAAGGGGAATTGTTGTCATCGTCACTGTCACCTGAAGCGCGTGCACATTTCATGGCATGTTTGTTGTCTCACTTCTGCATTTTGCAATTGTTCTTTGTTCTCCTTTCCGATTGAATGCCGAAAATGCTTCTTGTTATTTTTGCAAATAGTGAGTTGACATGAAATGAATGCTTTTCTACTGTCAACCATTTTGTTACTGCCTCTTGCATCGGTGCGAGAGGTGAGCGGGGGGGACCAAATACAGGTTCACTCGGTCTTTCCGCCAATTTTGCAGAACTACTGGGAAAATGGTATGCGTTTTTGGTCCTTTGGCCTCAGTACGGTTGTGACGGACAAATATATCCGTCTTACGGGGGGCTCACCCAATGCCAAGGGTTATTTATGGAATAAACATGCAAACCGAATGGAGGCCTTTGAACTCAACGTCACTTTGCAGATACGAGGGCGCCAGGTTACTGGGCGTGATGATGTGCGAGATAGTGGCATGGGCATCTGGTACACTACTTCTGCAATGCCCGCTACTAACACGGATGTGGGGTTCTTTGGCTTTCACAAACGTTTCTATGGTGTGGGTGTGATTCTAGAAAATTCGGATGAGATTTCTCTTGTTAGCAATGACAATACTTTTGAACTGGAACCAAGTTCTTTATTGTCGCGTCGTCACGGCTACTGCAGTGTGCCTTCATTGGGCGAGCTTCACATCACCATTACCATCCTTTATAAAGAAGGCAATATCAGCGTGCTGTACGTGTATCACGAGGGCGATGAGCCGCGTTTAGAAGATTACAACCGGGCTGTTTTCTGCACAACGGCTCCCTCGACCTCCTTTTTGGGCATACATCATTTTGGTGTCACAGCGGTGAACTCCGCAACGTTCCAGGCCACCCATGAAATTCATAGTGTCATTATGACCCCCTTGTCGGACATAACACACCACAAAGAAGAGGAAAACAAGGCTTTTCAATTCCGCTTGTTTGAAGAAGAGGAAAATGAAACAAGAAAGGAGCTTTTGGATGATCTGAACGAAAAGCAGTAAAATGAAAACAGCGTAATGGCTTACATTTTATATTTGTCTGTGGATGAGGACTTATTCATGTTAACTCGATCGCTTTTTTTTTTTTTTCTTTTCCTCTTTTGTAATATATATATATATATATATATATAGAAAGAGAGAGAATTGCACGTTAAGAGTGTTACACGTGCATTGAAAAGCCTCTATTTAGTGTTTTATGGGATGGACTGCCGCTTTCCTTTTTTTTCTTTTTTACACTTTGTTCCTTTCTTTTTCCATTCCTTTTATTTACCTCCTTTCTTTTTCATCTTTTTTTTTTTTTTTTTGTTGTTGTTGTTACTGCCGTAGTGGGGAAATAAAACAAACTGTGCCAACGGGTGACTGATGATGGGAGAAGAAGGCATTATTGTTCCGTTTTGCGCATCCGTTGATGCCTACATTAAGAAGGGTGCGGGAATTGACTTGATTATGAAGTCCGTGGCAGGTCTTTCTCGTTTGGTGTCTCTCTACTCCCAGAACGAGGAGACAAGTCGGAATTATGCTAAATTTGGCCAAGCCATCATTAATTGCCGCATGTTGGCCAACCACTTCCGGTATGCTGAGTCGTTAAACTTCGCGATAGTGAAATTTAAAAAAAGGGATGGTCGCCCACTTCTTCCTTGGTTGTGTCTCGTCGGCTCTTTCTTTTTCCGCTCACTGGAACAGGTCTTTGGCGACTTGAACTACTACCAGTCGGTCTTTATGCATCATTGGAGTCGTACTTTCCTGAGTCTCGGCTATTGGTTTTTTAAGTCCCTTTCACTGACCTGCGGGTTTTTTTACGAATTGATGTCTCTGAGAGCCACCATAGCGTCACCGGAGTGGAGGACCAAAAGTGCGCAGGGGCGTTCAAAGATTTTGAGGGCGGGATGCATTTCGCTGCTCCGATATATCTTTGATATGGTGGTTTACTATCAGTGGGTCCCGTGGTACAATCCGTACAAGACGGTACAGTACGCGTCTGCCGCTGCCGCCGGTATCCTTGGCATCTACGTGTCTTGGAAAGAAACACAGGCTGCACGCGTCGCTGGGGCAAAGAAGGCACCGGAATTGCGCACTGCGATGAATGGGAAGGAAGAGAATGAAACCGCAAAATTAAAAACCGTGGTCCCTGCAGAATGAGCGGCGATTTAACGTTTTTTTTTTTTTTGGATTTTTTTTTGTCTTTAAAGAGGGTCCGTTAAGAGGGAAGCTAAAAGTGAACTAGCGGGAATACGCACGGGCCACGGCTGAGGGATATTAAAACGATAAAGCAAGCGGTGGGAAAAGAAGCAACAACAACAACAACAACCAAAGAAAAAAAAAGGTCAAGAGGATCCGAGACGACGAGGGGGGAGGCAGAAACATGGGCAGTAACTCGAAGGAAGATAGGCTTAATAGTTACTTTTGCTACGCCGCGACACTCCTTTTTTTTTTTTTTTTTTTGTACTCCTGCAAGGCGCTGCGAACGACCGACACCCCACCCCCCACGCGTTGCTCTCTTGCGCCGCCGTTCTTGTTATTGTTGTTTCTCTTTTGTGTATGATGGGGTGTGGGCGTGACATTTAGTAAATGGGGAGGGGCCCTACTGTAGTGGGTTCTCAACCGTATTTATCTTTTTTTTTTTGCTGCGCCTTCTTGTTTGTAACGGGCACAGCAGCGGGGCCAGACACATGCTGAGGGGGAGGGTCTTTGATACTTTGTGGTGCTCCGCGTGTGGTGAAACTGTTTGATTTGTGTGTGCACGCTTTGGAGAGGAGAAGCAACAACAACAACAACAAGACGATGGATACTGCGTATAGTTAAAAGAAGTAATCGTAATCACACAAAACCCCCCCACCCGTCTAAATAATCAACCAAACACGAAGAGGGAATGACGGCTGACACTACGCAGTAAAACATGAATACACGAGAAACCCGGCACAGAGAAAATTTGGGTCAAAAACAGAGAGGAAAAAGGAATTTTTTTTTTTTTTTTTTTACTACGCCATATTTGTATTTGTTTCTTTGTTTATAAATTGTTTGCATCTTCTGATGAGTGAATCATTTAATCCGTATATATATATATATATATATAGTTTGCATTGTACGGGATGGGCATCTGTTAATACGTCAACTGCTGCACTTTTCTGCATTAATAGTGACGTTCTTTTTTTATTCCCCCACTTTTTGTACATTTTTTTTTTTTTTGATTGATTTGTAGTTTTGGTTTTGTTTTGTCGTTTTAATGTAAAGCCACCGGTATGGAAAGTTGTGTTCATCCGTTGATAGGCCAGCTGCAGCCCATCTTCAATGAACTCCATTCAAGTACTGCTGCCACACTACCATCTGTCATATTAAAACTAGAGTACATCATTGGTGACGAAGGCGACACGTTTTTTCAAGGCAGCGCAGGAGGGGAATTTAGAGCCTCACATTCAGGACTTTCAAACTGGGTCAACACGCAAATCAAAGACTTATTTAGTAAATCTGAAACGCAACTTGCAGGGATCTTATGCACCAAGGCTCTTTTGGGCACTGATTACATTGGAAGTAACAGTTTGTTGCAGTTTTTTTTGCAGTTACTGGAAGGGTCTGTAAGGTCGTCCGATGTGGTTGTGTCGGAAAAGTCAGCTGAAGTGTGGGGTCTTTTACTGAACAACAGCGGTAGCTTTGCGGAGGGCACTGCCCAGACTCGGTTGAAAACATGCATCAAGGACCTACGGATGACGGGGGATGAGGTGGACAAGGTTGCTGCCTCTCTGTTTCTATGCCAGCTGTTAAAACATACTCCGTCAACTGTCGTGCCTTATCTCGACCTAGTGTTTGAGGGGATCCGTGTGGCTTTGCGCGATTTATCAGAACGTGTGCGAGTGAATGCTGCATGTGTCTTGCAATATGCGCTTTCCGTGATGTACACCTCCATGGGTTCGAGTACCGTAATAAAATTGTTGGATAGTTTTTTAGGGGATTCACTCAACGGTTTGGAATCCAAAAAAAAGGACTTGCAGCATGGTGCCATTTTGTGTTTTAACGCTGTACTTTTTTCTATAACGAATGGCACCTCTTCTTATGGAGCGGCGGTGGTTCTTTCTTCTGCCTCCGTCTCGTACCTGCATGAAATATGGCAGTGTGTTAACGCGAAAATTGTCAATCCCAGTCTGTTGCTGGAGATTCGACGAGAGCTTTTAAACTCACTGATTCTTCTTGCATCCTACGATACGGTAAAGTTTAGAGAACGATCCATTCCCGTTGTACTCGCAGCTGCATCTACGGTTTTTCGGGTGGCAACATGTCGTGAAGAGCATTCAATGATGTTTCTTGCAATGGGGAAGCTGGCGGCCATATTACGGGATCATGTGACTCTTTTTCTTGACCGTATGATGCCGCATATCCAGGCGGCACTTGGGCAGAAATCCAAAGATGATCGTTGCCTAGAGGCTGTAACATGTTTTGCGACCCTAGCAGAGGTGAGCCCCAAGGCTGCGCGACCGTATCTGCGACAGATCTTGGCTCTACTCTTTTCTTTTCCTCCAACTGTGGGGTTTACGAGGGACATTGCACGAATTTGTGAGGCTTTTCCAGAGCTACGGTCCACTTGTCTATCGAAAATATTGGAAGCGACGAAACAGCAACTTTTAAATGCACATCACCGGCTATCAATTAGTACCGGTGAGAACGATGCCGATGCCGTTCTTTCCCTAGAGTCTTTGAGTGCTCTGAGCAGTCTGGATTTTTCTGGGTATTCTACCCTGCCATTTCTCTGTGATGCTGTCATTTGTTATGTGTCTTTTCCTCACGAAGAATTACGCCGGGCTGCGATAAACCTTTGCTTTAAACTTCTCCTTTCTGGGTGTACAGGTTCCCAGTTGCCATGTGGACGGACACCAGAGGGTGTTGTTGTTCATCATGGTCGTGACCACACGCGGCTTATTAATACCATAGTAAGCAAACTTGTGAATGCTGCTGTTTCCGATCCCGAAAGTGATATTCGTCTACATACGCTGGAAAGCTTCACAGAGGAATATGATCACGCATTGGCTCTTCAGCATGTTGTGAGCTCCCTTTTTCCGGCCTTGCACGACAAGCATCAAAACAGGTTAGCAGTGGTGCGGTTGCTGGGCCGTGTTTCACGTAGGAATCCGGCACACATTTATCCCATGTTGAGGAAAATTATGGTACAGTGCCTGACAGAGATACAATTTTTTGAGCATGCAAAGAAGCAAGAACAAGCGTTCTCTCTTTTGGGGGCCATCGTGGAGTCTACACCTGACTTTTCCAAACCATACGTGCCATCCTTGCTTAACAGCTGTGTTAAACGTTTACGCGAACCTTCTCAAACAGCTGCGGTATTGACAGCACTGCTATCGTGTATCGGAAAGCTTGTACGCTATGCGGAAGGTGATGATGTTCGTGTCGCTGCTGAAATACGTCCTGTTGTTGTTCAGCATATTTTGGACTCTTCTCATTTGCCAAAGAAACGGGAAGCGTTACGAGCTCTTGGCGACATTATCCGCACAACAAGAGATGTGAATATTTTTGAGGTTCATCCCGAGCTTCTTTCTGTTTTGCTTCAGGCACTGCATGGTGGATTCAAGGAGACGTGGCCTGTGAGAAACGACGTGCTTCAGCTTATGGGAATTATTGGTGCTGTCGATCCCATTCGGGTAAAGGAAATTCTGCGAAATTCACATGTAAACGACAGTAACACTGAGATGGTACCTTCCTTTGGGTTGAGGGGTGAGGATTCCATTGCTCAGACCGTCGTACGCAGCGTTCTACAGATTCTTTCTCTGCCTTCTTTAACGGATGAACAAAGTGTGGGTGCTGTGAATGTTATTGTGAAGATTATTTCATTGAGGGAAGTTTCTTCTAGTGGTCTCATTCCGTACCATGCGGAGATTATCTCATTGATTTTAAAACACGCACGCTTGCAGGTACGTAAACGTGAAGACATTTTGATATGTCTTACCTCTTTTGTTTCACACATCAAAGAATACGTTCGCCCATACCTTGATGAACTCACGTTAGCCGTTGCCTCCTTTATCTCAGCATCCGATATCTCCGTTCTCAATCAGACTCTTGCGCTGGTGAAGCAGCTTCGTCGTTGTTTTCGTGAAGAATTTCGTCCGTACTTGTCTTCGTTACTCATTCCCATTCTTAATCTCGTGGAGGAGAGCCCACATGCAGCCGGTGAAAATGTGTTTGGATTTCTTTCAGAGATGGGATCACTTCTGGAGGATCATCTTGACAACGTTTTGCCTGTGGTGTGCGACGTCATTGTGAATGCATCCTTTTCAAATACGTCTCGGGTGGCGGCGGTGGAGACACTTCGAAGTTTTGCACAACAACTCCCTAGTCTTCGTTTTCATGCCTCACGCTGCGTTCATTGTCTTTGTAGGGTCTTGAAGGAGCAGGGGGGCGTGAAGGCAACTGCACGGGGTTCATTGGGAAGTGCTGCCATCACAGCTCTTCTTGCCATTGCGCAGAACTTAGGGAAAACATTTGAAAATTTTACACCAATCGTTTTCCCTGTGGTTGCAGGGCACTACGGAGAGATGGATGGGGAGTATAAGCGATTCTGCGGCATCTTGCGGGATACCATTAACACAAGAAAAAATCCAGAGATGCAACGATGTCAGGAAGAAAACAATAGTGGTGGTACGATCGCCTCACGCTCCGGAACTAACAGCGATAAATTACCCGCAGAACGGCCATCGGATCCCTTTGAAACCTTACGACATGTACTACGAAATTGGGTTCGTTCGAACGACGAGGACTGGAATCACTGGCTGACGCAGCTTGCGGTGATTCTTTTACGCTCAAGTCCATCGCCCTCCCATGGTTGTGCCCTTACTTTAGCCGAGCTACACGATCCTTTTGCGCGTCAAATGCTATACTCCGCCTTTGCCACTTGTTACAGTGAAATGAATGAAAGCACGCGGAAAGATGTGGTTGGTCTATTGAGCGAAGTGCTGCGTGGACCGCGGGTGCCCTCCGAGGTTTTGCAGGAATTACTTAACTTGTCTGAATACATGGAGCGTCTCGAGATTCGTCAGAATGCACATGGCAATGGATGTCGCAATGCCTCGCAGGATTTTAGACTTTTTGACCTCCCCACCTTGATGGAGAGCAGTGAACGGTGCAACTTGTACTCGAAGGCCCTTCACTATGTGGAAATTGAGTTTTTTGAGACCATTCGAGAATATGAGCGGAGTGTTTTTCGAGGTATTCCACGTCCGCTTCCTTCTGGAGTGTGGCAAAACTTACTGCAGCTTTGTGAAAAGAGCATTTATTTATGCAATCTTCTTGGGCAGCGAGAGAGCGCAAATGCAGTGTTAAAATTTATCCAGCAGAATTATTCGATGCTTACCGGACAAGAGGTAACCGAGCTCTTTCAGATGATGGACGCAAGACTTTTCGATAAGTTACAATGGTGGTCACAAAGCTATCGAGCCTATGAAAGACGTTTAAGACAGGAGAACAATAAGATTTCCAACATGGTGGGGTTAATGAAGGCGTTGGATGCGCTCGGAAGTTATCCGGAGGTGCTTAATTTGTGGAAGCAATATTCTGTCCAGGTAAGTAAAAAAGAGGTTGTGGAATTGGCTCCCATGGGAGCTCACGCCGCATGGCTTTTAAGATGCTGGGATGATATGGAAAACATCACTAGTTTTATGAGTGAGGATAGTTACATTGGTACCACAGCCGTGTTTTACAGAGCCGTACTTGCAACACGGAAAAGACAATTTCGTGAGGCGGATAGACTTATTAAGTTATGTCGCAAACGACTAGACTCCAACTTGTCAGCTCTTGTGGCGGAGAGCTACGATCGAGCATATGAGCTTTTTGTTGGCATTCAACAGCTCAGTGAATTAGAAGAGCTTGCCATGGCAGCACGTGATGTGCGGAATGTGGGCCGTTGGCAGGAGCTTTGGGAGAAGCGACTGGGATCTATGGCTTACGAAGGGTGGCCTGGCACCTTGGCCAATCACACTCTTTTGGTGCCCCCAGCGCAAGAATTGGATATGTGGCTTCGTTTTGTCAGTCTTAGTCGTGCAAACGGGCGAGAGCGTGTTTCTAATGATGTTTTGCATGAATTACTTGGAAACCAGTCGATTGAGTCTGCTGTTGCGAATCAGATGCTTCAGCCCGCGGTTGCTTTAGGGGCCTTTCAGCACCTTTACGAAACCAATCGGAAGAAGAAGGCAATTGAGATGTTGGAACAGTATGTGGAGAAGGTGGAGCAGATGGGAACTCAACACGCGAATCGGGCGCGAGAAGAGCTGGCAATTTGCCACGCCAAGTTAGCCGAATGGTTAACTCACCGGAAAAAGTCACATAGTTTTGCTGAAACATTACGAAGTGCTCTCCATCATCTGCGCTGTGCCACAGACTTGGATAATAAAAATGGAACGATTTGGCATACGTGGGCTCGTCTTCACCATGAAGCAGCCATGAAAAACATCTCTGGTAAGGTGTCTCCAAGTGTTGAGGATCACATTGTGTGTGCCATTGATGGATATCTCCGAAGTGTTTGTCTTTCACAGGAGTTGGAGGATACTCTTGGGTTTTTGTCGCTTTGGTTTATGCATGCATCTCTTCCATCGATTCAAGGAAGCTCAACCATTAAGGCGGGTATCCATCAAGTCAGTCCAACAGTGTGGCTCAAGGTAATCCCTCAAATTATTGCTCGCATCTATTCACGTGATGCGGTTATTGCGGAATATGCCTATCATCTTATGGTCATCATTGCCAAATCACATCCTCAAGCTATTCTTTATAGCTTGAATGTTGCGAATACTAGCCACCAAATGAAGGTATCGTCTGAGTGTGTGGAAAGACAAAAGGGAACGCAGCGTGTGCTTGCACGAATCGCAGAATTCCATCACAATGGAAAAACAATGGTTAATGATGCTGCTTTGGCTTGCCGTGAATTGGTGCGGTGTGCTGTTTTGTGGCCGGAACTCTGGTTTGACGAGTTGGAGCGGGTATGGTTCCAGTGGGGGAAAGACAAAAATGCCAATAACGTTTTATCCGCGCTAAATCCCTTACTGGAGCAACTCAAAATGCCTGAAACAATGGCGGAATCTCATTTTGCAATGGAATTTGGTCAACTTCTTACCGAAGCCTTTGGTTACGTTGAAAAATCTGCCTTATTAGACTCTGAAGGCTACATGGAAGAGGCGTGGAGTCGATTTAAGACAGCGGTGAAAAGGATGGATGATCAGATCAATGGAATGTCCTCGCTGGCTTTGCAGTTGGTGAGTCCACGCCTGTTGCAGAATGGAAAGAATTTGTCTCTTGTTGTTCCGGGGCAATATAAAGAGAACGGCAGTTACCCACGAATCGCTTCTTTTCGAGGCGCCTTGAAGGTCATGAACTCGAAACAACGCCCGCGGCGCATATATATTAACGGCTCTGACGGAAATCTCTACAAGTTCTTATTAAAGGGTCATGAAGACCTCCGGTTGGACGAACGAGTAATGCAATTACTGGGATTTGCAAACAAAATTCTTGAAAAACACCTGGTGACGAAACGTCGAGGCTGTCTTATTCAAACTTATTCTGTAACACCACTTAGTGATAACGCCGGGCTTGTTGGTTGGGTGGATCATTGTGATACACTCCACCAGATCATTAAGGAGTACCGAATTCATCCAAAGTATCTCAGCACAGAACTCAACCTAATGCGAAGCATGTCTGATGAACTACACCATCTCACTGTTATTCAACATGTTGAACCATTTGAGTTGGCATTGGAAAGGACGGAAGGTGACGATCTTGTCCGTTCGCTGTGGATGAAGGCCCCCAGCGCGGAGACATGGCTTGAAAGACGAACCACCTACGTCTGTTCTCTCGCCACCATGTCTATGGTAGGCCACATTCTGGGTCTTGGCGATCGTCACCCGTCGAACTTGATGATTCACGCATTCAGTGGCAGAGTTGTGCACATAGATTTTGGTGACTGTTTTGAAGTTGCAAAACAACGTAGTAACTACCCAGAGAAGGTGCCATTTCGCCTTACGCGTATGCTTGTTAAGGCCATGGAGATGGGGGGCATAGAGGGTCTTTTTCGCCACGGGTGCATCGTGGTGATGGGCGTTTTGCGCGAGGAGGGTAGCAGCCTACTGGCTCTGTTGGAGGCGTTTGTACACGATCCACTTGTGTCTTGGTGGCGTGATGAGGGAGGAAACGACAGATGCACAAACAACAAGGATAATGCGAAGCAGTCTACTTCAATGACAGGTTCACTGCGTGCCAGTCATGAGGAGTATGATGTGGGGAGTGTACACGGAACCCAGAGATCCCTGCATCGTCGGGGGGCAATCTCGCGTGTATGCATCCAGGGAGAGGAGATAGCACTACAGCAGACTCGAAAGGCCCAGAGTGTTGTGAATCGTATCAAGGAGAAACTTGAGGGGTTTGACTTTTTTCATGACAGGCCAAGTCGCGGCGATGATGGCCTTACTGTTGAGGAGCAGGTTTCAAGACTGATTCAGGAGGCCACTTCCAATGAGAATTTGTGCGTTCATTTCTCGGGTTGGTGCCCATTTTGGTAGGAAAAAGCAATACAACAGCAACAGAGGAAGGCCAAAAGGGCCAAAAAGTGAGAAGCAAAAGGTGGTGGTGGTGGTGGGGTATTTGAGGGGACAAAAATACACACAGAACGCGCGAAAAAAAAGAAAAGAAATGAAAGCGGCCGAGGAGGAGGAAAATGAACAATAAAATTATCGGGAACAAATAACGAGGAGATCATATATGCGGAGGATAAGGAATGAAATTTGTTGTCACACCACGGCATAAATGGGACGCAACGGCCTTGAGCGATCTCCCACACTTTTTTTTTTTTTTTTACAGTTATTGTTGATGCCTCAGTAAAAATTATCACGGGGTGTTGTTGCCATTTTACCCCGACCTTCTTTCAACTCCCGTCTCCGATTCAATTGCGACATACTTTTTTTTTTTTTCTTCAAACTTCTCAGCGCCAAGCGATAGGCTCTGGAGAAGAACACAAATCATGGCTGACGAAACACGGGTTGAGAAGCATGATGAGGAACCCACCGTCACTCAGCAATTTGACGTGGAACCCGAAAACCTTAGAGATGCCATCCGCATTGTCGTTCGCAAGTCACTGGAAGTAAACGGTCTGGTGCGAGGCCTCTCTGAGGTTGCTCGCGCTCTGGACCGCCGTACCGCTCACATGTGTCTTCTCGCCGCGGACTGCGAAGACGAGGAGTACAAGAAGCTCATCAAGGCGCTCGCCAGTCAGGCCAACATCGATTTTGTCGAGGTGGAGTCACGTGAGGAACTTGCAGAGTGGGCCGGTCTTCAGAAGCAGAAAAGCGACGGCAGCGTCAAGACCTTTAAGTGCTCGTGTGTGGCAATACGTGACTTTGGAGAGCGCACCAGGGCTCTCAACATGCTGTTGGGTCAGCTAGCGGGATAAACGGCCTGGAGTTTCTTTGGGTGGGAAGCGAAGAGGTACAAAATGAGACCAAAAGGGAGACCTTATTTTTACTACACGGCGCAAATTCTTTTTTATTTATATTATTTACTATTTGAATTATTTATATTTGTGAATGACCAACCGGGGTGCATCGTCTTGTTTTTGTTGCTAGACGAATCGTGAGAAAAAGAATAGAAGGAACACCTTTGGCTGCATTTCTGGTTCTTTTTTTTTTTTTCTTCTTTTTCCTTTCTTTTTTTCCCCAATACTGCACACACAATCTAGCAAGACACCATTGGTCAATTTATTCAAATGAAACGTAAAACGCACCATATAAACGCTACTCAGGCTTCGTAAACCAGCTGACACACGTGAAAGGCACCAAGGATTCCATCAGATAAATTATACCACTACTTCAACAACCTCCAGTCATTGAAAAAAAAAAAAAAAAAAAAAAAGAAATTTCACTACAAACATATTTACCGCTACCACCACTAATACGGTTAATAATAAGACCCTTCTTTTGCCTTCGCGAAAGTCGTTGTTATGCCGTCTTCATGCCTGCCGCGCTCCTATTTTACCGTTATTATTACTACTATTATTGTTTCCATTACTATTGTTATTTTTTTTTTTGCGGCGGTGGTCGAAAACCTCTAGGCTGATAAGTAAGGCTACACAAGCGAAAATACACACAAAGAGATGTCATCCAAGAAGCAGACTGATGTGAGTGGTGGGGACAGGCAGCCCGAAGAGACTCCCACATTTTGGTCGTTGGAGAACCTGAAGGTTGCACAAGTGCAGGTGGTTGGTGGAACACTGAACGGATTCTCAATTGGCTTTGTTGCCGTGTATGCTTATTTCTACCTGATGTCCACGGACTGCTCGATGTACAAGAAGGAGGTGGCTTGCAACAGGGTATTGAACGCGGAGTGTTCTTGGAGCAAAACACGTGGGGAATGCGGCTGGAACGGCTTTACCTGCTTTTGGGGGTACGGTAAGGATAAGGCTGCATGCCTTGCGGACAGCAGGTGCAAGTGGGTGTACAGCGACGAAGAGTGCAAGAATCCGACTGGCTACAGCTCGTCCTATAACGGCATCTTTGCTGGTGCAATGATTGTTGGCGCAATGATTGGGTCGATCTATGCCGGGCAGTTTGCCGCGAAGTTTGGTCACAAGGTGTCGTTCCTGATCGTCGGCATCGTTGGCGTTGTGTCATCCGTGATGTACCATGTGTCTTCGGCAACGAATGAGTTTTGGGTGCTGTGCGTTGGTCGTCTACTGATAGGTGTTGTACTCGGTCTTGTGAACGTTGCATGCCCCATGTATGTCGACCAGAACGCCCACCCGAAGTTCCTTCACGTGGACGGTGTTCTGTTTCAGGTGTTCACCA